CGCAGAGCATGCCTGTCCTGCCAAGTGCTTCATGGCTAGTGAAAATCATTTTACCCACCACCGGAATGCAACCCCCTCTGGGGTGGGACACAGCAGCTGATACCACCCAGTGCTTTAGGATCAGACGCCATGAGGACCAGTCCACTGAAAGCTTAAGGAGAATTTTAGCAAGCAGGGTGGGATTTCCCAAACTGGAATGTGGCCAGTGCTTTAGGATCAGACGCCATGAGGATCAGTCCACTGAAAGCTGAAGGAGAATTTTAGCAAGCAGGGTGGGCTTTCCTAAACTGGAATGTGGCTAGAGCAATGAGACTAACAGTTCTACTCCTGTAAAAACCATTGTGGGATCTTTAATGGTCTCAGGCCTTAGCAGCAGCAGCAGGAAGGACCAGCCGGGATCAGGGTCCCATCAGTGTGCCAGGCGTTGCACGTCCACATGGTGAGAGACACCCCCTGCTCTAAAGAGCCAGTCACCTACAACTTGGCAGGGCCAGGAATACAGACCAACTTTTTGGACTCAGTGTCTCATCCTTAGACTGCATGGACCCCTGCTTGCTGAACGCAACTCCCGTAGCTTCCTGGTCAATCCAGTTCCTGGACATCTGAGTGCCGCTAAAGTCAGCCCTACGGTGGGGGGGTTCACTGGGCGTAGCTACGTGGGCCACGGTCCCAGGCAATAGCTAGACTGGCCAGCCTGCCAAATGGTTCCCTGCTCAAAGAGAGATAGGGACTATGGGGCGTGGGGGTTTCCTTGGCCCACGGGCGAGTGTCCACACAGGTGCGTTGGCAGAGCGGTGTGAGGCAGGGTCCTCGGGGTGCTGGAGAGGCATCGGTGAAGATGGGGAGTGGGTGTGAAAAGTGGGCGAGGAGGGCTGTTGCTGTAGATCGGGACGCGGGTGCACTAGTGAAGAGCTGTGTGTGCCGGGGGAGGGGGGCTAGGGTTAGTGGTGGGCGGCCCTCGTTTGCGGCCTGACCTAGGCTCGCCATGGCGGCTGGTTGTCAGGGGCAGGATTGCTGAGTCAGGAGCCCAGGGTCACTGCGCGTTACGCTGACGCAGCTAATTCTGTGTCCTCTGAAACCTCCTGCATCACCATCCCTCGCCGTGGGGAGCTGATCCGGGTTTTGCCCAGGCAGGCTGAGGGACACGTGGCCTGGCACCTTCTAACCAGCCAGGTCGGCTCCCCCGTTTGCCCCTTATTTTAAGGTGCAATAACAATGTGCTCACACAAACACCCATGGCGCGTTACGCTGACGCAGCTAATTCTGTGTCCTCTGAAACCTCCTGCATCACCATCCCTCGCCGTGGGGAGCTGATCCGGGTTTTGCCCAGGCAGGCTGAGGGACACGTGGCCTGGCACCTTCTAACCAGCCAGGTCGGCTCCCCCGTTTGCCCCTTATTTTAAGGTGCAATAACAATGTGCTCACACAAACACCCATGCCCCCTTCATGCCCCCTTTCTGCCAAGTCATGTGCTCCCATCCCCCCCAAACCACATGCCTGCCCAACCTCCCCCCCCCACACACATTAAACTCACATACACACACACAGAAACCCCCACCTCCGTTCCTGTTCCACCCCCCCCAACCCACATGCCTGCCCAACCCCCCCCCCCCACACACATTAAACTCACATACACACACACAGAAACCCCCACCTGCGTTCCTGTTCACCCTCACAAACTCACTCACAAATCTACCTGCACGTACAGTTTTTTTCCCCACCACCACTCCATGCGGCGGGCCAGGTAGGTCTCCCCTGGGGCCTTCTGTGAACTCCAGAACCTCTTCCTGTTCGTCTCAAGAGTCAGCCCACCCCTGTGCAGCAGGGCCTGTCTGAACAGCTCAGAGTGCCCTGCCTCCATCCCGTCCTTCTGGATGAGTGTCCCTGGGCCTGGGATCCCGTAAGGGGTGAGATGAGGGAGCCTGTCTGCTGGGTCAGCCTGGTGCAGGTCGCAGGCTCTCAAAGGCAGCAAGGAGGGATCTATGCCCCCCCTCCCTTACACTGGGGCAGCACGTCCACATCCTAGTTCCATGCAGTCCTGGGCCCCCTGGGCCTTTCCCCACTCACCGCAGCAGGGGTCTCTCTGCCTCTCGGCTCTGCCAACGGATGTAATAGTGTAGTCGATTAACTGATAAGCAAAAGCTTATAGGTCAATGGAATAGACTGCATGCATTTCCCTCCCACCCCTGCCAGTAAATTTTTTAGCAGACTGGCCAGCAGTCTGTCTCAGTTCTGGTTCGGGCTGGGTCCAGGAGCTTAGCCCTCCCTTCCCTGGACAGGGGCTGCTGCCACCCCACGCTGCTGCCTCAGTATCAGAGGCAGCAGTGTGAGGCAACAGGCAGCCGGTCTGTGCAGGAAGCTTGTTTTTAAACTGGCTCCCCTCGCAGACCAGCTCCCACCTGGCACCCGTGCTGCTGTCTCTGATACAGAGGCAGCAGCGTGGGATGGCAGGGGGCTACTCGGGATGGGGCCGGAGTGCACTAGAATAGTCGAGTAACCGATAAGAATTCATGCGGTTAATTGGCTGTTCAGTTAACCGATATTTAACATCCCTAACCACCACGGCCTCCTGCACGGTGCCCCCCTCCAGTCCACCAGCACCACAGTACAAGCATACACAACCTCCCTTCGGAAGGGACGCGCTCCCAGAACCGCGTACCCCGCTGACAGCCGCAGGGGGGCTGTCGCTACCCTCCCTCCTCCCCTTGTGCCTGACTCTGACCAGACCACCCGCGTGTCGACGGACGCCCCAGTTCCGCCGTCTTCCACCCCTGACATCCGCTTTTGCCTCCTCCCCCCAGTACAACACCATCCTGAGCGAGATGGACAACATCTATTCCACTGCCAAGGTGTGTCCTCCCAACCAGACCGCCAGCTGCTGGGCTCTGGATCCAGGTACGGCGCCGTCCCGTCCCACCGGGGTAGGAGCCCTCGGCCCGGGACTCAGTCGCTTTCTGAGCTTCGGGGCCCCTTGCTCAGGAAAGGGGTTTGAGCCTGCATGGGGCTCTGCTGCAGCCAGTGGGAGCCTCCCAGGTT